TACCTATTAATAGGCGATTTCAAAACATGTAATAATGTTACACGTTTGCGTATATCGTTATTGACATGCTTCGAAATACGCAAATATGACATCCTTCTCTATACAGGGTGTTAAAAAAAAAGTGTCACAAAATAAAACGGGGGTAGTATGGGCCAAAATATGCAGAAAAGTCTTAATAAGCATATGTCCGCAAATGAATGGTTTCAGAGATACGGAGTGTTTTGTATCATTTTTTGATTATCTTTTTTCATTCTCAAAAACTTGCTTTTCTTATCGGAGTCTACCGATGTTTTTTCATAGATACTATTTGCAGTTATTATTTTGTTGTGGGTGAATAATTTTATAAATTTTCGTTATGCCTGTTTACACTAATATTGAATTAGCTGATAGAGGGAGGGCACTTTGAACATCTCATTCAACTCTATGTTGTTATTGATTGTTTATAAATATCATTGTTTTTTTATAATAATAAAAAATTGTTATAAACACAAAATGGTCCGTATCTCCGAAACCGTTAATTTGCGGTCATATATTTATTAAGACTTTTCTGCTTATTTTGGGTCATACTATTCACTATTTCATTTTGTGACATTTTTTTTAACACCCTGTATATGAGGCTATAAAAAGCTACTTAGCTTGGACTAATCCACAAAATAGTCGTTTTCTTTTTTGTGGTACTATTTGATGCTGGATACCCACAACTATCTATCAAGACCAAATTGGGGTTAGGTTTTCATATATATAAATAATTTTTTTTTATTGATAAATAAATAAATACATTTAATTTCGATTTAAAATATAAAACTTTTACTAATTTCGGATAACACTATGGTGTTTAAAAAAAAACTCATCATCCTCTCTGGAATTACCGTAGAAAATATTTGGGAAATGTAATAAGAAATGTTGTAATTAACAAATTACATGATATACCATAATTTTGGTTATGGAATTTTAATACTAACAATTTGTATTTTCTTCTAGTTTACATTAAATTTGTAGGCTGGCTCACAAGTTAGGAGGCGCCTATAATCTTAGGAGGATGCACAATGGGCCTAATGAGGCCTAAGTGCCCTGGAGGTAACCTTCTCTCCACAAGTTGTAGATACAGATGTGTTTTATTCGTATTCTTAAAATTTTTCATTTCCATTTTAACCGATCGATGTTTCGGTCGATTGTAATTTTTACATTCCACAAATATAAAAATACTAGTTTACAAAAGATGTGACACTACACACATAAAATATATATTTAATTTATTTGTAGTTATTACGTAATTATATATTTTTATATTGACATGAATTTGCGTAACGTAAATTTTGATGCAGATTTTGAAATCAAAAGAGAATAAAATGATACGATTACCTCCGCCGCCACACTAATAGCATATTAAAAAGAAAATTATTAAAAATTATCAAAAAACAAAAAATTAAAAAAGGTTTTTTTTTTCGGTAAAAATAAAAATATAAAATTTTTTAAGCACGATAGTGCGTGTGAGTCAATGATAATTCCATTATTACAGTCACACTAAAAACGTTAATCTGTTTTCTTCAAAAACATTAAAACGATACCGATTTAATGATTTGTCGAAAACGTCCAAATCGTGCACCTTATTGTCATCATAAACAGTCCATCTGGAGTGCGCCATCGAAGATGATAAAGGTGACGACACCCGTGTTGTCGTCGAAGAAGACTACGATGAAGTTTTCGTACGTAAAATGGCGTAATAATGGCCGCTCGACATCGTCTCACCGATATGGTAGACGGCAGAATTCAAACGAAATCGTTTGTTATCGATGACAATATCGTCCGGATTGAAATCGTCACCGAAACAATCGTACCTTTGAATTCGCCCGGTGTCGTCATAATTGACAAACCTTAGGACTAAATACGACTGGATAGATGTAAGGCGAATACGATTTTCGAAAATTGTCACCTCATTGTTGGAGACAAAAGAAGATGATTGGGCGCAATTTTCGCAATTTCGTCGCTCTGAAGTACGATATCGGAATAAATCTTCAAAGTAATATTGACTTTTGTTTGCCACAGCCGGTCGTACCATTAAAGTTACGTTCCTCAACGGGACGTTGTCTGCGTCGTTCGACGTTTGCAAATGCTCCCATCGTACGCATATAACGTCCGTTCGAAAACGTACATCCATCGATTCGACAAACTGGGGCGGACAAAGAGGCACCAACGGTTCTAAACATTCCTGAAAATCTTGTCGTCGGGTGACGAATGTGACGCCTACGGCACGACGAATTGCCAACGTATTGTCAGAACGATTCGATAAAATATCGATGAAACTCCTGTAAAATTCGGATTTCCTTGCCTGGATGTATCTAACGAAAAGTGGCAAGTTTAATAAACAATTGACAGAAGAATTGGCATAACACGAAACTCCATCCGCATTCAGAAGACCGGTGTTGCGACGGCGGAGATAGCCATTGCGTATGCCAACAACCAATTGCGGCCGATTGGTTTTGCTGCTCTCACAATCACCGCCTTCAACACCCACGCCGCTATTAGATAATAAACTTCGTTGTTGTTGTTGTTGTTGTTGTTGTTGTTGTTGTTGTTGTTGTTGTTGTTGTTGTTGTTTATTATTATTATTATTATGATTAGCGACGTCGACTGGAACTAATGGAATGAACAAGTGTTCTGAAAATTAATGCTGTTGCTACTCGTCGTAACAATTCGTCGTTGGGGGGAAATGGAGATAACATACGGAGCGTTTCTTTTATCGACAATCAATACCCTTGTTGGTATTCGAAGATTGTAATACATATTGAGAAATGACGGACGGATCTAATACGACAGAAAGTTGCGACGATATGGGATTAACGTTTTTAGTCGAAGTACTCGGAACAGTCGGAACGCTTCTGTTGCGGTCCCCTTTGTCGTTATCGTCGTTATGGTGGTGGGGGTGGTGGTGGTCGTAGTGGTGGTAGTGTAGGAAGAAGTGTAGAAGTGTCCTTATTAGAAGATGTAGATGGTGCGTTAGCAACGTCAATATCGATGGCAACTACTGTGTTGTCGACATTGACGAAATCTAGAGCACCGGCAACTGCGGTCATAAAAGAAGCGTCGTTAAATTTTGAAGGCTTAACCGCTGGTGCAGCGTCTTGGACTACGAACGTAATGGCGACGGTGGTACGGGATTTACAGGATTATTTCTAGAAATGGCATTAATCGAAGAAGAAGAAGAAAAAGAATAACAATTAACAGTACCCCTGCTGTTATTATTATTTCCGGCGACATTCATGATATTATTGAAATTATCTACCGACGAAGAAGAAGTGGAGGAAGGTGCGGCATCGGCGGTGGATCACGATAATCGCCTTTTTTGAAAATGTCAGATATTAATCTGAAACGTGGATTTTTCGATGAAGCGTAGGAATCGAGAATAATTGGTTTTTGATGACTGTAAATGGTTGTACCAAAGTAAAATTTATTGGTTAAACACCAATCGATGCCGGTAATTGCCATTGTAGTGGAAGCGTCTGTGCGTTGGTCTGTCGCACTGTTCGTCGTAGTTAACAAATTAACTAACAAAGATTGCTCGCACAGGAATTTTTTCAGAAGACTATTTTTCACGTAATCAACGTTAGAATCACTTACCATGACCAACGGTCGGTCGAATTTAACGTTGTTTCTAAGGAATTGCACAGATTCTTCGATCGTCGCCGTGGTCGGTAAATACACAGTATAAATATGTATTGACGACAAAATTTCACAACATACGATGTGCATATAACTACACACACCGCGGTTGGTTTTACGTACTTTATCAAAGACAAATTTAACATGGTGGCCGTTATCCATTCTGCATAGAATCAAAATACCGCACGGTTTTCGTCCTGCTGTCGGATATGTTTTGTCGTTCTAGGAGGAGGAACGACAGAAGAGGCATTGGAAGTTGACGATGGTAACGAAGAATTACTAAATTTTGGTGCGGATTACTTTGATACAAAGGCAAAAAATGGCCAAAAGAAACGACATCGCTGTCGAGTAACCACGTCTCGACGAAACACAGTATGTCGGCGCGACAAAACTGAATTGGACGTGATTAAACATTCATGTTTCCGGTAGCTCTGTACGTTATAGTAAACCACACGTACGTCGGGACTAATATAATTTTTCTTCGACGACGATTTTGCAATCAATGTCGTAGGAAGAAAAGTTACTTCGTCCGCGACTTCGTTCCGTAACATGTCTCGCACAATCACGTCCAATTGTCGATCCGGGGCGTTTCTCAACGTCGCCAATTCCTTATCGCAAACATCGACCTTTCGCTTTCTAACAGGAGCCCTGAACTTATTACCGAATAAATACAGCCCGGAAGATTTGGTTGCCCTACTGCAACCAACATATACATGACTTTTCGACAACCATTTCTCCAAACAGAGCTACCAACGGGTACGTAGAACCTCGGCTTTTATGAACGGTCATTCCCTCGGCTGGCGTCAAGGGAAACTATTTCCGCTCGACGTACACGCTACTAAATCCCTTTAGAGTTTGCAAACGTCTCTTACGTTTGAACAAAGGAACCCACGTAGGATTTTATAGGATGTCATCACCACAAAATCCACGACATAAATTCGCATCGATCAAACGCATCTTATTCAGATATTTGTCGCGGGCTCGCTCCACCTCCGAAATCCAACCAAACGCAGAATACGTCATCACCGGCGGTTTCTCCGTCCTCACCGCACACGACGTCAATCTCGTTTGCATCAGAAATGGGTGGTGGTTGTGAGCTAACGGCCGCTCCGTCACCGCGACGACGATTACCTGCCGTCGTCGGTACACACCGTTGGATTTTCTTTAAAATACCGCACGCACCGTGGACATAACCATCGATATTTACGGTTATCATGTATCAAGCGTTGACATGCAAAGGAACGGTCAACGCAAACCCGAAAGTTTGGCCGATAGGTAAATTTCTAACTTTATTCAGGAATTGTTTCTTTAGCTTATCCGTTTTCGTGCCTTTCACCAGATCAACGGCTACGGAAACGGCGACATCGTCCTGGAACGTGGCCCATACGGCATCGTTGTGACTGTACGCTGGCATTGGTTCTGAATAGGCGGATGGCGTCTCGAGGTATGATAGATGATGAGGAGTTTTGTTGCGGTGGTGCGACAACGGTTGACGACGTTGCCTGTTGTATGGCCGTAAAATCCCTCGACAGACTAATATCCTCGGCCGACATTCTGTATTCGGCCAGATTGTTGAGAGCCTTGGCAAATGGCACGTCGTCTTTTTGTCGTATCACTTCCACCAATTCAAAGTACTTGAACAGTTGCCACAGCCAACCCTCCTTACCGACGATGTTCGCATGAGTTACTCGGAAATTTGGCTTGTTGAAAATAAAACCGTCACCGACGGGTGGTAATTGTCTAAAATCACCGAAAACGATAACAGGGACTGTCGTACTTGTCCATGATCTGTTGCAATCTGCAATCGATCTCGTGGAAAGTTCGACCACCCACCATGGAAATTTCGTCAATGATGACGTATTTCAGGCCTTTGAACTCTGTTCGGAGAGTATTGGCTACGTCATCCGAAAGCGCAGTGGTCCGGAGTATTGATTGACCGGCAATCGGAATGCGGAGTGAATAGTTACACCGCCGATGTTGAAGGCGGCCTTACCGGTCGGTGCACACAATACGATGGATCTTTTGTCGGCATTAAATACCGGATACATATATTTACCGACGTTATCGTGAGAAGGAACGATAGTCGGCGGCTGTTGTTGTTGTCCTCCTAACAATGATGAAGCAGCTGCTGTCGAGGACGATGATTTTTTATGGAAACAAGCGGCCTTGGACAATTTGTCCAAATAATGAGGAACGGCCAATTCGATGGTTTTTATCAAATGAGACTTTCCCACAGCTGCACCACCGGATATAAACATATGTAAAGGACGATGTTGTGGTGATGGTTGTTTAGAATTTTACATTTTTTTCGCAAAAATGTGAATCGTACAACTCCGACAATATTTGGATCAGAACCAACGACTGTCTGTAATTTAACGATGACATCATGTCGAACAATTTACGTTCATCCACGGCCGGAAGTATCGGCAATCGACGCGAGCGACATAATCGAAATCGTCCTCCAGACTACGACAATCTCTGTTCATTGTTACTGCTACCTCCAGCGGCCGCCATTCTCCGCAATTGAGAGCTAAGTCCGGACAACAAATCGAAACTGTCGTCGGCCAATTGTTCTCCGTTAACGCCACCTCCGAATCGCGCGGAATCCCCATAAATTGCCTGCAACACGTTGTCGTTTCTTCTCCCATTACCTGAGTTCTCTGCGCCATTAATGTCGTCGGCAGCGTTGTGATTGTCGTCGATATTAACGTCACTAGTAATGGTATCGGCGTCGTGTCGATGGCCTTGTCGGTGCAAATCATCGTCGACAATTTGATCGGCCAACTCGTCCATATTTTGAAGGATTTTCACGAAGTGGAGTTTTTCGCGAATAATGTCGGCGAGAAAAGACGAATAACGCGACTTGATTTCGCTGTTTTCGACTAAACTTATCAAATCTCGTTGTTCGTCTCTGTAGGGTACGAAAAGCATTAAATTTTCGCGACAGAAATTGATCGGATCGCGAAGCTCTCCGTAATTTCTGAATCGTAAAATTTTTCGACGGCCGTTTGCGGCCTTCCTCTTTACGTACCCGCTATCGTCACGCAAAGGTAACGCTCCCCTAACATTTTTCGAAGAAAACGTGAATTCGGTGGCGAAACGTGCCAAGCATAAGGCCGTTTGACAAACGTGTGCGCGTTAAGGGAAATGGACGCTGCGTGTACGGATGTTTTCGAAAGAAACATCCTGGATAGGTACGTCGAACGACCGGATTATTTGACAACGTGCACACGTTTGTCAAACGGCCTTATGCTTTGCACGCTTCGCCACCGAATTCACGTTGGCGTTACCTTTGCGTGACGATAGTGGGTACGTAACGAGGATGGCCGCAAGTGGCCGTCGCAAAATTTTACGCTTCAGAAATTACGGAGAGCTTTGCGATCCGGTCAAATTCTGTCGCGAAAATTTAATGCTTTTCGTACCCTACAGAGACGAACAACGAGATTTGGTAGGTTTCGTCGAAAACGGCGAAATCCAGTCGTGTTATTCGTCTGTTCTCGCCGACATTCTTCGCGAGAAACGCGACTTCGTGAAAATCCTACAAAATATGGACGAGTTGGCCGATCAAATTGTCGACGATGATTTGCAACGACAAGGCAATCGACACGACGCCGACACCATTACTAGTGACGTTATTATCGACGAGAATCACAACGCTGCTGACGACAATGACGACATTAACGGCAAAGACAACTCAGGTAATGGGAGAAGAAACGACAACGTGTTGTAGGCAATTTATGGGGATTCCGCGCGATTCGAAGGTGGCGTTAACGGAGAACAATTGGCCGACGACAGTTTCGATTTGTTGTCCGGACTTAGCTCTTAATTGCGGAGAATGGCGGCCGCTGGAGGTAGCAGTAACAATGAAGGTAACAGAGATTGTCTTAGTCTGGAGGACGATTTCGATTATGTCGCTCGCGTCGATTGCCGTTTGCCGCCACTTCTAGCCGTAGATGAACGTAAATTGTTCGACATGATGTCATCGTTAAATTACAGTCATTGGTTATGATCCGAATATTGTCAGAGTTGTACGATTTGCATTTTTGCGAAAAAAATGCAATAAATTCTAAACCACCATCATCACCACCACATCGTCCTTTACATATGTTTATATCCGGTGGTGCAGGTGCATTTAATAAAAACCATCGAATTGGCCGTTCCCTATTATTTGGACAAATTGTTCAAGGCCGCTTATTATTTCCATAAAAAATCCTCTTTCTCGATAACAGCAGGATGACGTAGCCAATACTCTCCGAACAGAACTCAAAGGCCTGAAATACGTCATCATTGACGAAATTTCCATGATGGGTGGTCGAACTTTTCACGAAATCGATTGCAGATTGCAACAGATCATGGAAGAGTACGGCAGTCCGTTCGGTGGCGTCTCTGTTATCGTCGTTTTCGGTGATTTCAGACAATTACCACCCGTCGGTGATGGTTTCATTTTCAAAAAGCCACATTTCCGAGTAACTCATGCGAACATCGTTGGTAAGGAGGGTTGGCTGTGGCAACTTTTCAAGTTGTTTGAATTGGTGGAAGTGATGCGACAAAAAGAGGACGTGTCATTTGCCAAGGCTCTCAACAATCTGGCCGAATATAGGATGTCGGCCGATGATATTCGTCTGTTGGAGTCAAGGCCTATTACGGCCATGCAGGCAACGTCCCTCAATAAAAATGTCGCACCACCGCAACAACAAAACTCTTCATCTATCATACCTCGAGACGCCATCCGTCTATTCAGAACAAATGCCATCGTACAGAATCATAACGATGCCGTCTTGGCCACGTTCCAAGACGATGTCGCCGTTTCTGTAGCCGTTGATCTGGTGGAAGGTACGAAAACGGATAAGCTGAAGAAGCAATTCCTGAATAAAGTGAGAAAATTACCTATCGGCCAAACTTTCAGGTTGGCGTTGACCGTTCCTTTGCATGTCAACGCTCGATATATGATAACCGTAAATATCGATATAGTCGATGGTTATGTACACGGTGCGTGTAGTATTTTAAAGAAAATCCAACGGCGTGTACCGACGACGGCAGGTAATCGTCGTCGCGGTGACGGAGCGGCCGTTAGATCACAACCACCATTAATTTCTGATACAAACGAGATTGACGTCGTGCGCGGTGAGGACGGAGAAACCGCTGGTGATGACGTATTCTGCGTTTGGTTGGATTTCGGAGGTGGAGCGAGCGGCGTTAGTTCCGTCGGAAAATTAACTTGCGACAAATACCTGAAAAAGAGGCGTTTGATCGATGTGGATTCACGTCGTGGACTTTGTAGTGATGACATCCTACAAAATCCAACGTGGGTTCCTCTGTTCAGATGCACAAGACGTTTGTAACTCTAAAGGGATTCAGTAGCATGTACGTCGAGCGGAAACAGTTCCCCTTGACGCTAACTGAGGGACTAACTGTTCATAAAAGCCAAGGTTCCACGTACCCGTCGCTGGCTCTCTGCTTAGAGAAATGGTTGTGTAAAAGTCATTTATATATCGGTTGTAGTAGAGCAACCAAATCGTTCGGGCTGTTTTTATTCGGTAATAAATTCACGGTTCCTGTTAGAACGCAAAAGGTCGCTGCTTGTGATAAGGAATTGGCATCGTTAAGAGGCGACCCCGATCGACAATTGGACATGATTGTGCGTGACATGTTACGGAACTAAGTCGCGAACTTTTCCTCCTACGACGGCGGTTGCAAAATCGTCGTCGTCGAAGAAAAATTACATTCGTCCCGACGTAGGTGTGGTTTACCACAAGGTACAAAGCTTCCGGAAACACGAACGCCTAATCACGTCTAATGCACAGTTTTGTCTTGCAGACATACTGTGTTTCGAAAAAGACGTGGTTACTCGACAGCGATGTCGTTTCCTTTGACCATTTTCAGCCTTTATATCAGAAAAATCCGCATCAAAATTTAGTAGATTCTTCGTTACCACCGTCAACTTCTAATACATCTTCCGTCGTTCCTCTTCCTCCTCGAACGACGACCACCCATCCGACAGGTGGACGAAAACCGTGCGGACTTTTGATTCTTGCTAGAACAGACAACAGCCATCGTGTCAAGTTCGTCTGTGATAAAATCCGGAAAACAAACCGTGGGGTGTGTAGTTATATGCACATGGTATGCTGCGAAATTTTTCGACCTTCGATATTTATACGGTATATTTACCGGCCACGGCGATGATCGAGGAATCGATGGAATTCCTAAAAGATAGCGTTAAATTCGACCGAACGTTGGTCATTGTAGGTGATTTTAACTTAGATTACGGGAAAAAGTCAATTGAAGAAATTCCTATGTGTTGAATCTTCGTTAGTTAATTTATTAGCTACCACAGACAGTGCAATAGGCCAACGCACAGCCGCTTCTACTACAATGGCAAATACGAGTATCGATTGGTGTTTAACTAATACAAATTTTACTTTGGCCTGCGTAGGTGAAACCATTTATAGTCATCATAAACCTATTATTCTAAATTCTTATACGTCATCAGAAAATCCTCGTTTCAGATTAATGTCTGATCTTTTACGTCAAAAAAGGTGGTTATCGTGGTCCACCGCCGATGCTGCACCCTCCTCTTCTTCGGCGGTAAATAATTTACCAAATGTCACAAATATCGCCAGGAAATCTAATTCTTCTATTAATATAATATCCGTACACACTATTAAACCTGTAAATTCCGTAACACCGCCGCCGTTACGTTCGTCGTCCAAGACGAACAATAAAAAAAGGCGCTGTTGGGGCTGCAGCAGCGGCAAGTTCTTCAAAATTTAACGAACATTCTCCTATGACCCCAGTTGCCGGTGCTCTTGATTTCGTCAACGTCGACGACACACTGGTCGACGTCGATATTGACGTTACTAATACACCGCCAACAGGCATTTCCACATAAAAAAAAACGACCAACACCAACACCACGACCGAAACGATTGAGGAAACCGCAACAGAAGCGGCAACGACAAACTACTATTAAAGCATCTCCGAGTACTTCTACTAAAAATGTTAATCCCATATCGTCGCAACTTTCTGTCGTATTAGATGCGTCAGTCGTTTCTCAATATTTAGAATCTTCAAATACCAACAAGGTAATGGTTTTCGAGAAAGGAAACACTCCGTCCGTTATTTCCATTTCCCCGACAACGAATTGTTACGCCGAGTAGATGCGATAGCAATTCATTTTCTAAACGTTTGTTTATTCCATTAGTTTCAATTGACGCCGCTGATCGTAATAATAACAAACAACATCGTCGTTTATCCAATAGCGGCGTGGGTGTTGAAGGCGGCGAATGTGAGAGCAGCAAAAGCAATCGTCCTTCTACGTTGATTGGTTTACGTAATCGCTGCCTCCGCCGTCGCAACACCGGTCTTAATAATGCGGACGGAGATTCATGTTATGCCAATTCTGCTGTCAATTGTTTAGTGAACTTGCCACTTTTCATTAGATACATCCAGGCACGTGCATCCAGGCAAGAAAATCCGAATTTGATAGATCTTTTATCGATGTTTTATCTAATCTTTCTGACAATACGTTGGCAATTCGTCGTGCCGTAGGCAGCACATTCGTCACTCGACGACAACAAGATTGTCAGGAATTATAAACTACTCACAATTATTAGAAATACATATGTCTTTAAATATATCTTAATTCATATACAATTTTCATATATATGATTATTGCTATTTTAGTTATCATAAAATAATAACATAGTGTTTTACTTTTTTTTTTGTTTTAAATATTGTCGTTTGATTCTATTATCGAACGCAATTTTAGATATTCATAAATATAAAAAATCGACACCGTCGTCGTGTCGTAAATAAGTATAAAATGCTATTTAACGTTATTATCATCATTTGACAAACGATATTGACGTTTTTGTCATTAAATATATTATACATACAGTTTTTTTGCAGAATTTCTTTTGAACAATTTTTTTTGCCAATTTATTTTTGACAAAATGATTTTGGCAAAAAAATTTTTTGGTCAATTTTTTTTTACCAATATTTTTTGACAATTTTTTTTACATTTTTCCAACAGTATAAATATAGTTTGCTACATTTGAATATCTAGATCTGATGCATTTTTTCTTATCGAGGTTTGTTTATTCACATTGGACCTACATCTATCTACACATCTACATCTCTGCATTTGTTTGTGTAATATGTAGCTGTCCAGATTACACATTTTTTATATCTCGATTTGATATGAGATGTCCATTCCATGTCAGAAACTTAGTATTCTGTGAAATAAAGTTTATCGATTTATTATTCGATTATGATAACGTGATGATTATTAAAGTGATTAACGTGTTTAATTTTTTTTACATTTCAAATTTAGGTTGATTTGTAGCCTCCTCATAAGTTAAACGCAAGATATATAAACTTCACGTGACTAATAAAGTTTAGAATGTTTATTTATGATTTATATATCTAGATCTAATCCTTTACGTATTACAAAATTTTTAACATCTCAGATGCATCCGATATTTAATCAATTAGGTATTTCTTCGTAAAAATGAGATGGTATTATTTGTCATCCTCGTTATCCCGTTTCAGTCTTATTAGACAATGACTGTGTTCGTCGACGTCAAACATGTTGTAATGCGTTTTCTCGCATTTAGAATCATAGTTTTTCTCGGTTTAATGGCTAATATGCCAGTTTTGATTTTTATATTAATAATAATATCCTTATTATTTCTATAAACAATACGAAACAAAATATAAATATTTTATAATAAACAAAATATATGACAAGAGTAATGAGCGAAGTTCATCTTTTGTAAATGTTTATTTATTTACAGAGCACGTTGTTCTTCCACCCCACCACACTTAATTCCTTACTCATTTATGTTTTGTCTAAGCTTTGTATTTCATATCATAATTGATTATCGTAAAAGCGCAAATAAAGGTGCTTTTCTGCTTTGAAGTCATAATTTCTACCTTGGATTCCTTCTAACATCTTTTTCTTTATCTCGATTCCCCCATTTAAAAAAGAAGAATTTTCTTCTTCAAATACAAATAACAAATATATTCCATAAAATATAATAAAAATTACTCTCTATAAAATTCCCCTCCCTTCAGCAAATCATAATGTTTCGACAGAATAAAAGTTAAATTTAAAATTTAACGGTTTACTTTTTATTCATTTTTGAGTTTTTTAAAAATTCAAAATTCACACATTTTCTGAAATATTTTGAATACTATGGTTCCTTCTACAGAAATTACGTATGGAAAATAATATGACATTCAACTTTTAATTAAATAATTTTTTTAAAAATTTAAATTTTCTATATAACAAAAATTTTAGAAAATATAAGAAGTAAAATACAACACCTCTATTTGATTTAATCAATTTTCCCTTTAAGGTAGTTCACTCGTAAAACGGCCTTTCTTAAGAATTCAATAAAATTGAAATATGAGGTTAATGAAAGTGTCTTTTATGTACCTAAAAAAAAATAAAAAATTTTGACTGTCTGTAAAACGAGATATTAGGTTTGTTCCAACACAATAGCAAATCGGTTTAGGTACTGTCGGGATTCTGCGCAGTCTAGATTTGGTGTTCCAACAAATCTCGGACTCAAAACTATACAAAAACCAAGTGTTCCAACATACTCAAACCTAATCACAAACCAGTTTCTGTACTGTCAAATCAGTTCCTGGGTCTGAATAGGAACGAATTGTCAAGACATGCGCATAGAAAGTAAGCTCGTAAATAAATCACAACCAACTCTAGAAATGTCGTGATTACATTCGTTTTGATAGCTTCGATAGTAGTCTCGATCATAATTTGGTTTTTATTCATTATCATTTAGTATATTATTCTATGAGTAATGAATTTAGAAAGTGAAAAGGACTATTATTCTGACGCAGTAAAAAATAAAATAAATTAATGTACTAACCAATCGAATAATCAAAATTTATAAATCTTTTAATGAATTTTATCATTTTTTTATTTACCACATTCAAAATTTGTCTTATTTTTTTTTACTTTCACGTTATTTACAGTGAGTCTGACAACAATAACATGTGTTCCAACACAAACAAGTTCCGAATTCAGTCCCAATCATCGACAGGTCGTGGACTGGTCGTCGACTATCAGTCGTCGACAATAAGTTGTAGACTGGTTTGTGTATGGTTCCAAGATTGTTGTTGGAACAAACCTATTAACAATCAAAATGTGCATAATTAACACTCTTGAAGCCCTGTCATGTACACAATCATTGCATTTATTTCAAGATATCTCGAAAACGGTTCTTACCATATTTTTTAAAAACTAATATAATGTAAATCAAGAAGTTATAAAATTTTCTAAAAAAACGCTGAATTTTTTTACCGTTTTGATAAAGAAATATAGATTTTTAAAATAAAAATGTTCTAAAAGCAGTCGACGCATAGTGGCGTATTGTGATTACAACTTGGCAACGTTGTAATTGATACACTCAACGCCCGCTAATTCAAATGTCTGTTAGATCAGTGCTTCCCAATCTTTTTATTGCCGCGGACAAGTCACTTTATCGAGACCTTCTGGGGAGGGACGTTGTTTATACTTTAGGTTGATATGATTTAACAATTTAAATTTAATTACACAAAAAAAATGAACCTAAAGTAATTTAAAATTTTAACTTACTAGTATGAGGAAGTCATAAAAAAATACAAATAAAAGTAATG